AGCACCAGAGGCCAGTGGCTCTTCAACTCCTTGTCCCTGAACACAGAGCAGCTTGGAGACTATTCCTGCACTTCCATCTTCCTGCCATAGTGTGACATGTGATATGCTAGAACTAGCTGGGTGAGGTGATGTCTGACCCTCTAGCTCTGGTGTTGAGTGAACCTACCCCAGGACAGACTTAGTTCAAATCCTGGTTCCCCCATTGGGGGACCTCTGACACTTTGCTTGACCTCTCCCAGATTCAGTTTCCTCATCTGTAAACTGGGACTAATAATACTCCCTCACCAAGTTGTGTGGATTGAGGAAACCTACGTGCAGGGCCTGGCATAGTTTATAACAGGTTCTTGTTGCTTGGTTTTACCTTTATTATTGATATACTGTGGATCTCTTAAAACCATTTCTGCATTATCTTTGTTTTTTTTTAAAGTGCTCTTTCTCTCAAAATCTGCAGTGGAATACAGTAGGAAAGGTTTTGTTTTCTTTTAACTTAAAAAGCACCCTTAGTATGTCCTTTACCTTTTTGCCAAAGTTGAGGATCGGTGGGTTCCATCCACCCAAGTGGATGCCAGTTGGGTTGCAAGTCCTCAATCCCAAGTTTGGGAAGCCCAGCCTGACCCCTCCGGAAGCACTCCCTGTGGGCTGGGGGTCCAGAGAAATGGCTCGTCTGCCTGCTTTTAATGTTGTTCCTAAACGTGATGTAGTCTCGGCTTCCAATCCTCTAAACCCCCCTGCCCACCCTTCCCGCATACATTAGCCTTAATGTATTCTCCCTTGAATACTCATCATATTAAGTCTCCCGGTAGATACCTTGCTTGAAATAAATTTTATGGGCATGCATCCTCGCCCTCATCTCCATGCATTTGTGGCCTGGCGGAGAAATATAGGCGTATCTTTTCTTGGAGGCCAAACAACAATTAGGTGGGAATGGGTGGCCCTCTGGCCCGGGTGCAGGGCAGGGTGTGGGGAGGGAGCGGGCTTGTGCTCCGTTCCCCCATCCGTCTCTCCCATCCGTCTCTCCCGGGGTTAATTTGCCTCCGCCAGGCTGCGACCTGGCTCCTGGGACAAAGACATCCCTAGTTGGTCTTTTCCCCTGGGCTGATGATCCACAAAGACCCACAGGTCGGACCGGGCACCCGCGGCTCAGGGGAGCACGGGTTCCTTTGGCTCTGCACTGCGCATCCCGCACACCTCTTCCCTGAGCCGAGGGCTTCTCCTCTAGGGCGTCCTTCCCATCCTTTGCATAAAGATGCCTGAGCAGACTTCCTTCACAGTTCTTCCTTAAGGCTCAGCAGCTGTCACCAGAGCGCCTGCAAGGGAGATCCACACCCTTTTCCTCTTAACGGCTCCATTTACCTGCCTGTCCCCATCCGCTGCCCAGGCTGGATTTGTCACACCAATGGAGCTCCAGGTTTACTCACTATAGCTTCACCTCTTCTTTCCCAACCTCCCAACTGGTAAGGCCCCCGCCCTCGGAACCCTCCCTGGCAGCTCCAGGGACGTGGCCCCTGGTGGTCCCTGGAGAGTCAAGTGTGTGGTTGAACAGGAACCTGCTGGGAGGTGCCCGATGAGTCCCCAAGCCACGGCACAGCTGCTGTGTGCTGTGGGTCCTCTCTGGACCTCCGCACGAGGGGCTTGACATCTCTGCGGACTTCTTGGTGGGAGTTCAGTGAGATCAAGCTCAGGAACCTGGGCCCCTAACTTTCCTTACTCAGCCCAGTGGCACCACTGCAAGCACCTGGTTAGTGCAGTTATCTTATCTCCTAAGAACAGAAAGCTTTACTGAACACCTACTGTATACCAAGTGTCCTGTGTACTGAGTCCTGTTGTTTGGCCTCCAGCCAAAGTGTTATGAAGATGATTAATTTATCTTCACAACACTTCTACCAGATACAGTTGTCATCATCACTCCATTTTACAGGTGAGGAAACTGAGGCAGAGGCAAAGTATTGGGTTGGCCATAAAAGTTCATTTGGGTTTTTCTGTAGGATGGTTTGGAAAAATCCAAATGAACTTTCTGACCAACCCAGTAACTTGTTAAAGCTTAGAAAGCAGAATCAAAATTAGGCAGTCTGGCTCCAGAATCCATGGTCTTAACCTGTGTCCCACCTTACCGCACTTATTCAATGGAAATTCCTGTAGCTATCATGTGCTTAGCCCTTTGCCGGGACTTCTTGGTAAATACTTACTGGTTAAACAATTTCTTTGTCAAGGAGGAAACCTTTTGAGATAAAAAGAAAATCCCATCTGAACTGGGACTGGTAGTGAGTATCCAAGCCTCCATGTATGGGGAGTTCTCATTTTGGTCTGAGAATCAGGTCAAAGGGCAAGGCATCTAGTGAGTCTGACCTTCAGGCAATGGTGGTGCCTGCTGGGGCCATGAAGGGAACAGGCTGTGTCGGGGTTCAGTTGGGTTCAAGATCAACTGTGTGTGTATAGGGCTAGCAATGATGGTTAGTGAATGTCTCAATAGCCTGTCTGTTTTAGATATAAATGACTTAATACTTGAGAAAGCTTTCTCTTTACATAGGTTTAGATGTGTTCAGTTTTCCCCCTTAATGCTTTGAGGCTAATGCTCTTATGTGAACACTTTAAAATCACAAGTCTCGATAGCCTGTCTATGTTTTAGATATAAATGACTTAATACTTGGGAAAGCTTTCTCTTCACATAGGTTTAGATGTGTTCAGTTTTTCCCCTTAATGGTTTGAGGCTAATGCTCTTATGTGAACACTTTAAAATCACAAGAGATTTAGTTTTACTACTTTTGTTGACATTTTGGGATGTGCAGGGAAAAGTAGTGAAGCACTGTCTCCAGGTGAACTTCTTAGGAATTTTTTCTTTTTGTAAATTTAAACATATATATAAAAATTTTTACATTGTTCTGTTGGTTTCTGCCATACAACCACGCAAACCAGCCATAATTATACATACACACCCTCCTTAGCCTCCCTCCCTGTGATGCATATATACTATGGAATATTACTCAGCCATAAAAAATGAATTTGAGTCAGTTCTAGTGAGGTGGATGAACCTCGAGCCTGTTACACAGAGTGAAATAAGTCAGAGAAAAGCAAATACCATGTATTAATGCACATACATGGAATCTAGAAAAATGGTTTTGATGAACCTGTTGGAGACACAGATATAGAGAATGCACTTGTGGACACAGTGGGGGAAAGAGAGAGTGGTACAATTGGAGAAAGTAATATCAACATATATACACTATTATGTGTAAGATGGATAACTGGTGAGGAGTTGCCGTATAACACAGGGAGCCCAGCCTGGCATTCTGTGATGACTTAGGGTTTGATCAGTAATGTATTTGGTGATAAATATCTGTGGAGGTACTCTTGTGCGCCAGGCACTATGCTAGGCACAGAGATGACACAACTGAGAAAGAAATATTGCTCCTGCTCTTTAAGGATTCCACCTGCTAATGGGAAAGACAGTGTGTAAAAAGACAAGTAGCAAAAATGCTATAATAGAGGTGATAAACACCAGGATTTACCAGCCTTGTGACATGCTGTATTACGAGACTACCATGGGAGGCCAAATGCTTGCACTTTTATGTTTTTGTTCTTAACATTTGTTACAGTCCTTATTTTGAGGAAAAGGACAAGGGAAAATGGCTAGAGATGTTTACACTATTTGTTCATCCAACTGTGAAAGCCTGACCATTTTATACATTTTGAAACTAATTCAATGACTCAAAAATACTGTCCATCCTCTGAACAATCCCTTGGTAGAGATGGGATGGCAGAGAAATAGACCTTGGCTAGGAAGTCACCCAAATCAGGAACAAGATGGGGCAGTGGTTAGGATTCAGTTGCCGACTACAAAGTCCATTTTCACTATTTAAATGGAAAGTGGTCAATTACACGGCATGTATTAGATGACTTTCAGCTTAGTGGAGCCAGTCCTGGACCAAGCTTCTGGGAATAACTCCCAGTCCCCAGAATGTTCTTGCTTCTGCCATGATTGATTAGGACATTAAAACCAGAGAATCCTGTGGCCTCTGCCATGCTCCACACGAGCGTAACGGGGGCCTGCCTCTTGGCTGCGCCTTCATTCTACCCAGTTCTGAGTTCGGGTCTCTCTTAAGTGCATCTGATTGGCAGACTCTAAATCACATTTGGAACCCGAGCTGCAAGGGAGTCTGGAAAAGCAGTTTCTAGTTTTCCTGTATGCAGTACTACATGAAGTCATATTAGTTGGGGATATTAATTGATGGTATCTTTTGTAGTTCATTAAAATACTGAGATTCTTTCTCCTTTTGGACCTTTAGGCCTGGACCTTGGTCGCTGCCCCTCTCCCCCACATATCATTTTCTTTTTAGGTCAGGTGACCTCTTAGTCCATGCCTAGGCAAGGCTCACTTTAGAGGCTTTTAGCACAGATTCTACCCAGTAGTGAAAGTGTCATGGGCTTCTCTGGTGGCTCAGATGGTAGAGAATCTGCCTGCAATGCATGAGACCTGGGTTCAATCCCTGGGTTGAGAAGATCCCCTGGAGGAGGGCATGCAACCCACTCCAGTAGTCTTGCCTGGAGAATTCATGGAGAGAGGAACCTGGCGGGCTGTGGTCTGTGGGGTCTCAAAGAGTCAGACATGGCTGAGTGACTAAACACAGCACAGTGAACATGTCATAGAAATAAAGGTGAATGTTATTGGGTCTTCCTGGCCACTGGCTGCTGAATTACAGTGGGCGTAAGTGGGGTTAGCTGATGCTGCTAGCCTTGTGGTGCTCTCAGAAACAGGCCCCTTGGGCCAAAGCCACACAAAGCCAGGCCAGCAAAACATGGATTGGATTTCAGTCCCAACCTTCTCCTTTGACCAGGCACCTTTGCACAGTGTGCAACCTGCACAACTGTATGTGGCAGCTCTGGGAGATTGGCTTATGTTCTTTCCCAGATCAGGCAGAATGAGAAGTCATCCACACAGCACCTGGTCCAGTTAGCAGTGCTGTGCAGACGGTTCACATGGCCTCTCTCACCTCTCTCCACAGAGATCCCCCAGTGTGCTGGCTGCAACCAGCATATCCTGGACAAGTTTATCCTCAAGGTCCTGGACAGACACTGGCACAGCTCCTGTCTCAAGTGTGCAGACTGCCAGATGCAGCTGGCTGACCGGTGCTTCTCCAGGGCTGGCAGCGTCTACTGCAAGGAGGATTTCTTCAAGTAAGTCAGAACTGGGTGGGGGGCTGCAACTTGCTCTCCCTGCCCTAATCTAACTGCCTCCCCCATGCAGTGAGGGGGAAGCTTGCAGTAAGACAGGGTGGGAAGGACAGGGGTCCATCCTGTGTGGGATAGGTGAACCCTGATACTAAGAGGCTGTTCCTCACTGAGGTCCCCCCTTCTGATCACCGGCCCCATCATTCCTTGATGCCCAGAGTCTCAGCCTCACGTGAGCTCTGCAAGGGGCAGGGGTGAGGAGCCAGCAGAAGGCAGGAGCCAGACTTCTCCAGGGTGACTGACAAAGGATCCCAGAAAATCCTAAAAGGAGTTCCTCTTTCTATCTTTGTGAGTTGGTGCCTCAGGGCACTTGGCTGTATCATTCCTGTGACTTTCAGAGTGGTCCTTCAAAATTTAGATCTAGAGGCATCTCCTTGGCTGCTTCAAGGGTCTCAGAGAAGAGTTGCTCCCGGTAGGGGTTGAGCCAGGCTCACACAGTGTCATCGACTTCAGTGGAAATATGGTGAAGAGACAGTTTTGTGTGATGGTTTAGAGCCCAGACCCTGCCTGGGTTTGAACTTCCTTATTAGCTATGTGCTCTTGAGCAAGTTATTGAACTTCTCTGTGCTCAGTCTGCTCATCTGTAAAATGGGGCTGATGATAACAGGGTTGTTGTTAGCTTTGAATGAGTCAGCATGTGTAAGTTCCTTCGGACAGTGCCTGATACATGAGAACTAGCTCTTAAGACTGTCCTTGGTCTTTTATTCTGGGATTGGGTTTATCAGAAAGAAAAATCCTGTTGGAACTTTAGGTCAGAGTGAGGGGATCTCCTAAATTTTATTTTCCATGGCATTTGGTCTGGGACTTCTCTTCCAGAATGTATTACCTAGGCACCTAGGCTGGTGCCTCAAATGAAATGGATGGGCTGGTAGGACAGGGGGTGGGGGTGTCTGTCAATGACACAGAGCCCAGTGTGGGTGGCCCTTGGGGGGTGTGGAGTGTGGTGGCACTGCCAGCTGGCTCACCAACACCGGGAAACACTGGACAAAAATGAGCACGCCCCGGAGAGATGGTGTGCCTCCTTCAGGGGATATGTATTCTGGAGACAGGGAGAAGCACCAGTCCTGGATATGGAACTTGATTTCTCCCAAATCCTTCCCAAGGTTTAACTGCAGGGAATAAGTGATTTGAATTTCTGAGGATTCTCCAATTTTGTCAGTCCAATAGGAGCTGAAAAGCACTTTAAAGATGATGTTGATAACCACGGGGACTGCCTCCATGGCTTGTGCTCAGAAGGCAGGACTCATTGTTACTATTACACTTCGGTCAAATAAGCTCTGCTCTCTCCTTGAAAGTGTGTGTGTGTGTGTGTGTGTGTGTGCGCGCGCGCACACACACACATCTATGCTGGAGCTCCCTGAGAGTGGGGCAGTGGCTAGCACCGGGACACCCAACAAATCCGTTGAGGGGTGGGCCTCTGGTTCTTTTCTGTGGACTGTCCCCCCCCCTTTTCTCCCCATCTTCCTCTTACTTTGCGTATCACTGACACTCACCATGTTGCCTGTATTCTGGCATTTAAGTAGTTCCATCCCCTCCACTCACATCTTTTCTCTGCAACAAGAATTTGCCTCAACCCTCCTCGCTCACAGATGCCCTGGGCAAGTACCATGGCAGTTCTTTGGGCCCTGGATAGGACAGTTGTCATCCTCTGTGTTGGAGGGTGGGGAAGAGGGCGGGAGGAAGTAGGTGGGCGGGCCTGGCCTTGGAGCTTTGGTGAGCTGTCCATGCTTCCAGGGCCAGTGCCTCATCCTACCGTTTGTCCCTGGACCTTTGGAAATCCTCAGTGAACTCCAGGGTGAGCAAGAGGCCACATTGCCTTCTTGCCCATCTGGGGACAGGGGAGGTGCTGAGGGGTCCCTTGGTCAGAACTCTAGCCGGGTGCAGGCCTGTCAGGACCAGAGACCTAGAGCTCGGTAATCAGAGAAGGCCTTTTGAGCCCTGGCATTGCCCTGGGGCCCTGTCTGATGTTTGGACCTTGACTGGCTAGCTCCAGGTTTGGCAACAGGAGATGGCAGCAGCTGGCATGTAGCTTTGGCTTTGGGAGAAGTAGTGATAAGGAAAGAGGATCACTTTAGACCCAGGAGGGGCCAGGGAGTGGGGTACGGAGGGATTAGCACAAGCCTATGAGCCTTAAACCCGAGACCAGAAATAACAATGACAATTACTCACCCAGGCTGTTGCCCCAATCCTTGCCTCCATGACCTTGGAGACTCATGACTAGGGTCTCTCGTGATCTCCCCCTGGCTGCTGCCCACACCACCTCCCCACCAGACCAGCATCCTCTATCACATCTCAGGTCCCGACCTGCCATCCCCAGCTCCTTTGGCAGGCCCCCCTCTGCCTACAGAATATTCCAGAAACACTGTGCCACCAGAGCCTTCTGCCCGATGCCCAGCCTCCCATTCAGTCCTAGCTCACGGCTTTCCTTGGGTACCCGATGCCCCCTAGCAGGATGCCCCCTTTTCCAGGCATGCTCAGCCTTTCCCCACCTCCACACTGTCCAGGGGATGATGTCCATCCTCTCAAGGTCTCCCCGTCTTCCCATGGTGGTGAGTGCAGCTCCTTGGTGGAGGGAGCCTGGTGGAGGCCTGGCCACCTTACCCCTCGTCTCTGCCGATGACTCAGCACAAGCTGCCCTGCTCGGCTGGTTCCTCATGCACCTGTTGGCCTGAGGAAAGGCTGATTAGCCATTCAATTTTCTGTCTGTCCCATACACATGGGCCGTTGCTGGGTTTGATGCAACAAAGAGGAGATTACACAGCGAATTTACAGTGTGCTGTGGGACCGGTTTCTTCTGGACCCAGCTTTGGCATCCTGCAAATCACAGAGGCCCAGGCTGCCTCCCTTATTTAGCCACAGTTACTGTCCTCTCCTGAGATCATTCTGCTTTGTAAGGTAGCAGGGCTGGAGCCCCTTGTTAAGGGGAGCTGGCCACACACTCAGTGCTGAATCCACAGGTCATTAATTCTGTGCTGGGGACGCTGTGTGGAGAGAAATGGAAAGCGGAAGTGATTCCCCTCACTGCCCACAGAGGGACAATCAGATACAAAGCCCCAGGGAGGGCCCTTGGATTTACAGGCAGTCAGGACTCACCCAGCATTTGCGATCATGGCTATTTGGTCCAGGACGGCACAGGTGCGGCACAGTTTGGTCTAGCAAGTCCTTGGTGAGGACAGGGAGAGAGTACTGTCTACAGTCAGAGCAGCTTCACCTCCCATCCTCAGGGCTTGGGACCTGCTGCCCACCTGGGGCTCAGACAGTGATCTGGCTGCAGAACTGGGGGTCTGCTCCTCATTGCGGCTCATTAAAGGGATGCTTTCAGCTGACATACATGCAGAGGGACACTAGGAACAGAGGGAACAGGAGACAGGGCAGGAGGGAAGGGCAGTCCTGGGCACCAGGCTGCAGGAGTCACCTCTGGCGGCCTCAAGAGAGCCCAGCAGGTGCCATGCACTCGAATCTGCCCACCAGACCTCAGAATGCTTGCGGCTGTGGCACTTGGAAGTTGCCTGGTCAGAGGCATCTTCTCTGTGCACCTTGAAGCAAAAGAGAAAAAGAAAAAAGAAAAAGTACTGATATCTGCCCCAAAGCCTGACTCAGAGACAGGGCAGGATTCATTGACCTTACTGATCAGCACTGTGGTTCTAAGTTCTAAGATCAATACTTTAAATCTCTTTGCCTATAACAAGGGGTGGGGCCACTGCTTTGCACAACTCCAGGGGCATCTTTTATTCTGTGTGAAGTTTTGTGAATCAAGACAGTATTGTCAGGAGCTGGAGGGGTGAGTACCCCAGAAGGAGGGGGGAGGATGGAGGTGAAAGATGGAGATGAGCGTCCACGAGCCTCCAGCCTGTGGAACATGGCAGTACTGGTGCCTGGCAGCAGAGGGCGATGTTGGCGTGTGCACGGACAGAGAAAGAGGTACTGTTGGAAGGTTGCACTCTGTGGTGGTTGTGCTTTTGGGTTGTGCTTTTGGGGGCGCTGTTAAACACTGTCTTGCTCAGTAACATTGGCTGGTTTTTGCTGTTTGTTGTTTTGCCTCTTGGATCCTTGGCTTCCCTTCTCCAAAGGAAATAAAATTCCGAGGCCAGAGAGGGGAGGCGGTGAGGTATGCAGTGTGCTTCTGAGACTGTTACAAAATTGCAAGCCAGGAAGCCCACAACGTGGGTTGCGTTTGCTGAGCAGGTTCTGTCTGGACTTTGCATCCAGTGTGTGGAGGGTCCCTGGCTCCTTGCAAAAGGGCTGGAGTTTGGGGAGGGCAGGGGTCTGGGATTTGGGCTTCTGGGTCCCCTGCTCTTACTGTCTGGGTCCTGGCAGCTCCCTTACTTTGAAGCATGGTGCAAACAGGTTTTCTGCTCCAGGAACTGGTTCAAGTGCCGGAGGTCCTTAGGCAAGTTCCTTAACGTCTCTCAGCTCCAGTGCCCCAAGACACAGGAGCGTTTTGCAAAAGGGTGTCATTTTATGAGCAGACTGGTTTGGTGAACCCAAATGGAGCTTGATTGAATTACTGTTCTGTGTTTAATCAGCTGTTCATTAGCAAACAAGTGACCAGGCCTTCTTGAAAACCTCATCCCCTTATCTGTTAAGAGGTGATGTTCTAACCCACTGAGTTGCCGTGAAATGGGAAGATGGTGGTGTATAAACTGTCCAGCCCTGCTGGGTCCTTCTTGCTAGGTGCTAGAATCTCTGGGTGTTGGGTTTCTGGCCTCAGAGGACTAGCTGTCAGAATTCTTCCCCAGGGCTGGGCTGTGCTGGCTTCTCCTGCCCGCCCTGCTCCCTCCAGCTTTGCAACCTTCCCACTGAGATGATTTTAAAAGCCTAGAACTCCTCACATGGAGGTCAGGGTAGTCTGGCTCACGGCAGTATGCTGGGCATAAACCATGGCATAGAGATCCTGTGATTTACACAAAAACTTGAGAAGCAAACCAGTGATTACTATAATATGA